TAAAGGGGATGATTATCCTAATCCTATAATGATTAGGATAACTACAACATATGGATAAATACAAGGGAGGATAATGACAAGTCTTGGCCGCCTGGTATGGATAAGGATAAGGTGCTTGTCGCCTGGTCTTGGACTGAAGTGAGACTGATGTGGTCTGGTCCATTTCCGGATATGTCCCAACCATCATTTCTCAACAAAACTAATTTAGCTAGCTTATAATTGTAGTCAGTCACCGTCTGTAATCTATTTCAGTTAGTTATACAAAATCAAGAATTATAAAATGCATCCATAAATATACTATATTTAAAATAAAGGAAAATTTGTCAATAAAGAACAAAAAAATTTAAGTATTGTCCCCTTAGAATAAAAACTAAAATCAATGTCTCTATAATATAAACATTAATGAAAATCCAGTTTAATCCTCACTGATTATTTTTTAAATAGGATTACAATTTATTTAAAAATAAAATTAATTAAATTAATGTTTTTGTTGCTTATTAGTTTAAAGCCTTATTTGAAATTGTACTCTAGACAGCTGGAAACTCGTCGGAAAAGCGTGAGACGAGGACAAATCGTGGCAATTTGCATTGCTTCAGCTAGTTCCTCAGAATTTTTTTTTAAACGATTTTTTGGTAGGTTGTAAGCCCAAAATCACATATTATATCATAGATATGTTCAAGATATGTTCAAATCGCAATTATCAACCAAACAAATCAAGAAATCGGAAAAAAAAATGTGAAAAATAACTGTAAAAATCAAACCTACCTAATTCCCTAGAAAAGTTACAAAAATAGTTCCACCTAGAGTCGAACCCGGTCCTGTGAAACTTAAAGATCGGGGGTATACCACTACACCACGAATTAACATTGTTATATTTCTACATATTTAATATATTACTATGTATGTATATAAATACCTAAAACTAATCTCGATTAAAAAAAGATTAAAAAGGAAATAAAAATATTAAGAATGAAATAAAAATATTTAAAAAATTTAGAAAATATTCACTTACCGTTTTTCTTAGATTTTTGGATATTTGTTCACAAATCGTGGTAGAACACACATTCTACTAAGTTTAGCAAATAGCTGAAGCAGTAGATACGGTCCCTCAGACTCAGATAGAAATATAATTTAAGAATGTATGTTCTGCCATGGTAGATATATGATTATTTTTTATGTGTTATATTCTACTAAAACTTCCAACAGAGAAAAAAGACGGATTTCATAATATGGCATTGTAGATATAGATGTGTTTGGTGTATTACGTATTTTATGTTCTTTAGATCAATGTGATGTAAGTAGACTGCATACTATAAACCATCGTAGATCTGATTTACTAACTCATTTATCTTATCTTTTGAACTTACTATTGTAAACGTTTTTTTAATCCAAAATATTTTTCATATATGCATCATACTTATCTACTTCTTGTTTTATATTTTTCTCAAATTTTTTGCCTTATAAATTTATTCATATGATTTTTTATATACAAAAGGGTAATAAAAATCCAAAAGTGACAAAATTTGATTTTGTTCTAAAGAAACAATAGTTTAGCTTTTTTTTGTCTCTTAATTTCCCTAAAATATAAGCAAATGCACATTATGTACTGTTTTTTTTTGCACATTATGTACTGTTTCTTTTTTGCGTTTGTTCTACGTTCCTTTTGACAATTTTTTTGGATCATTAACGAAGTAGTTATGTTTGTTTTTTTTTTTTGGTTTTGGGCCATGATAAATACTTTATAATAATCGATTCATGTCATATTTTTGTGTGTTTATTTATCAAACAGTATTTTAAATAAAATTATCTTATTATTTTAATTAGACATGTGATTTTTGTATACAGCATATTTGAGTTGCATCTTTTTGTTCCGAAGTAAACCATAGTTTTTGGTTCTAAATATGATTAGAGGTTTTATTGATTTTGTTAGTTGCATTTAACTTGGTTTGTTTTCTTTGGGTTGGGATGAAAGAAAAAGAAAGGATAAGTAGGCATACCTATTCGTCGATGAGGAGCATCTCTAAGTCCATAAAGGTTCCACCTTTTGCAATGTTTCTAGCTTCCCAGAAGTGGATCAAGCAAAATCAGAACTCTGATTCGGCTGGACCTGGTGAGACGTCGTTGAAGTAAAAGGCAACGGGATACCTGCCAGTGAAGAGCTGAGATTTTCTCGTTGATTTCGTCGCCATAGATGTAGCTGCTTCATAGTAGACTTTTGATTTTGTGTGAAGTTAAGGAGTAGCGACAGCGATTTATATAGGATGAGGATGAACGGGAAGTATAACAAGACAATCAAGAGGAGCTTAAAGACCTTCATTGATTGATCAGTACTAATGTTTGAAGGTTACATTTAGTTCAGAGGGGAACATATGAGGGAGAAGTCGAGCAGTGGGGGAGGGAGAGATCGACTCTCAATAGACTCAGACGTAAATAGCGTTTGGCGAGGTGGATATGGACCGGATTAAAATGTTAAGCCATCTACTAAGATAGAAAAACGAAGGCCCAATTTTGATCTGTCAAAACAGCAGACTGACGTGGGGGTTTCTGACTATTTGATTGGTTGATTTTTTAGTCTGAGGTGGCATGCTTCTCCTTTCACCTTATTCTCCTTTTAGTAATGTTAGATTTATGATGTGAAAAGGATGAGCACCTAAAACAAAGAGATTCCCAATCTTTTATCTTCAGCTGGAAAAACACCAAATGACAACAACGTCAATAAGAAATAACAACAAAGATCACATAAAATCCTTTAAAATAATAATCATGGAAAATAATTGAGATTTGTAAATTTGTAATAATTAAAAAGTTAAGTTAATTACTATCATTTATATTTTCTTATTAAATTAAGATAAAAATATTTTATTACACACAAGAAAGTGTAGCTTTCAAAAAAAAAACATATGTATGTTTCAAATCTAAATCATGAATAGGATATTTTTCAAATTATCCCATTATTATTTCATTTCTTATACACACAAATCATTTATCTTGAATATTTTCTATCAATTCATCCTAAAAACTCAAAAAAAAATTATTTCAAAATTGCATTTTCATTGAAGTTACTCGAGTTTGATGATTCTTGGTTAGTATCGAGTGAATGTCTTTCTTTAAGAGGTTAGGAGTGTTTTTAGAACTTAAACAAGAACTCTCACACAATATATGAATGATATTCAAAATTTTCAGATCTGATTCATGTAGGCTTCATTGAGAAGACTGATAAGTCTTCTGGTCAATATATAACTTAGTTTTGCAATTAACTATTTTGTAATTTTTTTACATAGAAAACTTTTAAAGAAGTCTACTAATTTTTCTTTGTAACGAAAAAACTCGAAATAGACTTCGATAAATCTCCCTAAAAACTAAAGCATCCATACTTCGATAAGTCTCCTAATTCTTTATTTGACACGTCTTGTTGCCCAAAATGCTCAATCTAGTTTTGCATCATGTTCAACATGGTGGTGAGGTCTGCAACCGGTAGAGTGACATCCATGCCAGTTTGATTCATTGATTGTGATCATCTCTAACCATCTTTTATCTTTTTTTTTCTGGTGTTGTTTTCAAATTCCCTACAAACAGAGAAAATTGTTTAATATGAATTCGATGTGTTCTATGGGAAATCACGAATGCAATGATGAGTTATTTGAAAGACATTTATTGAGATATCAAAAGTTTGATTGCAAGAGAAAAGACAATAAACTCATCAAAAATTAAGAACTTGATACATGATAAGAATAGTAAAGCTATTAAAACCTTAGTTATTGTACCGAATTCAGTGTGATCTTCTCTTATAGAAAAATTGAGTCAGATCTTCTCTTTCTTAAAACCGATGTCTTTTCAATTTTTCTATAAGTCGGCATATATTTTAGAGTGAATTTGCTCAAAATACCAAAAAAAGAAGTTATTTAGAAATTTACCTTAGTTTAGGGGGAAAAAATAATAATGGGGGGAGGAGAGAGAAGGGGGATATAGGGTATGAAGTTAAATATAAGGTTTTGTGTGTATATGGAGTGCAAATACTCTATATTTTATGACCGCGTCTCTGTTAAATCAATCGAGTTTGATGTACTTGATAAAACTTGTTGAGAGATGTAATTCATCTCCAAGATTTTCTTATCTAACAACACATAAAAATGTAGCTGAACACGATAGAATATTTCCTCTAACAAGTCCTCCTGAAGTTCCGACGCCAATATAGTGATCCTTCTCTCTCACAAAAGGGATAAGAGTACTGGAGGCTGATTGTTGTGGCTTAAATTTTTGGGGTTATATTGGCTAACAGGCAAACTTTGAGGGTCTCTTTTCTAATTATTTCAAGTAACGTTGGTTAGATGGACAAGCAAAAGATAAAAGATGAAAAAAGGGAAACCTTTTTACCCAGGAAGAGGCTTCGGTCCTCGCAACCTAAAATAAGTATCCAAAGTTTTGTCAAAAATCCTCTGCACTTTGAAGTTAGAGGAAGATCAATACTTTGATCGATCTTCTTCCCCAAGGAGAAAGAAAAAGATGGGTTCTCATGTTCTTAGGTCTCCCATTACCTTGCGCTCTTACACCAGCTCCCTCGTCGGTTTCTTCTCCAAATCTACCAATCCTCTTCTCTCTGGTATGTTACTGTTTTCTTCGCATATATTATACTTATGGGTTAGATTGTTGCTAGAGACTGTTTTATCTTCATTCAGAAGTTTTCTTCGTTGGGTAATTTCCACAAACACTTAGAGTGCATTGTCAGTTTCATGGGTTCTCGCTCTGCGAAACTCGTTAGGTGAACAAAATCAAACTAATCGATGGGAAAACCCAAAGTTTGTTGTCATAATTGTCAAATTCTAGAGGAAAGAGACAATCTTTGTGATAAAATGTTGTTTAAAGCTTTGGTTTTTATCTTCCTTTTCCTCACTCATGATTTGTGATTATCATCTGTTCCAGCGAGATGGGTTAAAGCAGGAGAAGCCACTTCTATCAGATGTCTTGCTTCTGCTATACGTGGAAAGAAGTAAGCTTCTTTTCTTCTAGTATCAAAATCAAAAAGCTTTCATCTTCATTTGCTTCGTTTTAGTTAAACTCTTCTTATTCTATAACAGTAAGAAACAGAGACTGGATGAGGCATGTCTCGAAAGGTATCAGGAATACAGTCGCACACTAATACAATCATGGATTTTACAAGGTAAAACACACAAAACACATAATCTTTTAAAAAGACAAGAAAAAGAAGTTCTTTGTCTAGCTTAATCTTCACTGTCAACTATGCTAGAAAGGTTTATGTAGCCTTAACTGAACTCTAGTGTGTATGTTATGTAGGCAAAGTGCTTGTGGATGGGAAAAGAGCTAGTAAAGCTGGGATGCCTGTAGGAAATGATGTTTCCATAAAGATTACAGCTGAGGTTCCCAAATATGTATGTAGGTGATTATTCCTACCCTATCTTTATACGGTTTCCTTAGTGCTTTCAGATCTTGTTTTTTTTTTTTCTGTTGATTGTTCTTTCTCTATTGTCTTCAACTTGCAGAGGTGGGCTGAAGCTGGAAGCTGCAATAGAGAAGCTAGATGTTGATGTTTCTGAGAAAGTGGTTCTTGATTCTGGACTCTCTACAGGAGGGTTTACAGATTGTTTGCTTCGTTATGGCGCAGCTCATGTGTATGGCGTAGATGTTGGTTACGGTCAGGTGCTAAGTTTTGTTCAAAACAAATTTGTTTGATTTTCTATCCTGCTTCTCTTAATTACTAATTAGTGAGTTGATTATTGTAACAGGTAGCTGATAAAATTCGTAATGACAAGAGAGTGACTGTTATGGAAAGGACAAATGTGAGATACCTCCCTGGTCTCCCCCAAAAAGTCGATGTAGTGACACTTGATCTCTCCTTCATTTCCATTCTCAAGGTAAGTTTGGTTCTGTTCATTTTTTTTTTTGTTGCAGAAACTATGATTGACTTAAACTTTTGAACAGGTGATGCCAGCTGTTATGAATGTGATGAATGAAGATGCAACTTTAGTTACCCTTGTCAAACCCCAATTTGAAGCTCGACGATCACAGGTAATCAAATATATTTAAGATGCCAGATTATTTACACAGTTAAACTCTAAGAAAAGCATACAAATGATCTCTGCTATTTGTTACAATCTTTTCTCAAATATTTTTTTGTTTCCTTTCAAGGTTGGGAAGGGTGGTATAGTGAGAGACCCTGAAGTACATCAGGAGGTATATTTGTATTTCCCTTTAGTCTTTGTGACAAATGAATCATTGTGTGTTCTTTCTAACGTAGTGATTGGTTACTATCTTTGATGTCTTGAGAAGGTTCTTGAGAGGATAATAAATGGTGTTGAGAACTTTGGATTCACCAACAAAGGGTTTATTGAATCTCCCATCAAGGGCGCCGATGGCAACATAGAGTTCTTGGTTCGCTTCGACAGAGGGAAGACAGTTAAAAAACCCGAAGAAGAAGAGTAGTACTAGACTTTATTTATTTTTATTGCTGGGAAAATGCTAATGATTCTTGTCGCTCTTCATTTAAAGAACTCCAAAGTAATCGCAAGTTAATCATTTCAAAGGATCTTAAGAAGAGCGAATTAGGACTTGCTTACACATGAATCTTTTGGGTTTATGATAATAAGATGCAAAGGTGGTTAGCTTGCACAAAGCAAATACTCCCCATGAGATCCAAAACATGTCTTTCCATAGATACAAGTCTTCTACCTAGAGAAGCTATCTCATCATATTGCTTCATTGTTCTTGTAGTATCATCATTTCTTACCACTGCAAAATTGAGGCAAAAAAACTTAATCTGCATACCGTATTAGGCTATGTCCTTGGATCAATTTTCTTTTCCAACAACGGACGCTTCATTGTTATTTGAAGATTTTGCATTTTTTGCAGTATACATATGCACAGGTGGAGGCAAAAGCTCTTCTTGAATGGCCTGGAGACAGCAAACCAAAGACCAAAAACCATCAGGACCAAACGTAAACAACCAATGTAAGTCTATCTACCAAAAAGCCAAAACAAAGAACGTACCAACCAACCATTCTTCCCTCTGGCGCCGCCTTTGATGTAATAAGCTTCTTTGAATCCATTCTCTATCAGCAATTCAGCCACTTTCATGGAGTTACCATCAAAACTGCTCTCCACATCAAAGTTACAAACATGTAAGACAACACAAAGCAATTCTCCCTCCTTCAATGATGTATGTTTTAGAGTTTCCATATTAATTAATAAATGCATTATTTTTTGTGATTAGCTATTTTCCATTATTTTTTGCCAGTCAAAATTCAGAAAATTTTATAATTTACAATTATTATATGCATATTATGAAATATGTAGTTTTCCGAAACATTTTTTAAAAACAAATCATGGATAATTTTGAATCAGAGAGTATTAAACTATGTCAAAAAAAAAAAGCTTTGAAGCTTTTGGTTTGATCCTTACTTGTCAAGTATGCAAACAACTGTATTTTCCGGATCAGAGAAGCTTCCCTTAACTTTCTTCAAGAACTCTGACTCATCTTCTTCACTATAAGGAACCTGAACCGAGCTCTTACCAAGAAACTTGAGATTGGGTGATGCCAACGAAGCCAATGTCTTCCCATCTCTGATATCAAGAAGCTGCGATTCAGGTTCGCTCTTGAGCTTTCGAAACGCGTTAATGGCGGTTATCGGTTTATACTTCCTCCGGTAAAAAATCACCGCCGGGTAAACCACAAGGTAGACGAATGTACATCCCGCCACGAAAAATGGGTACTTGTTGAAAAAGTTGTCGATTGTGATCAGAATTGACTCCAAATCGATTTTGCCAGTAGGTTGATCAAAGGGCTCTGTTGATGCGAGGACAGGGGAGCAGAGGATGGTCTGAGAAAGGGTGAGAGAGAGATGGGTTTTGGATAGGAGGTGTAATGAAGGGGATTTGTTGAGTGGTGTTATGCGAGTTTGGTCGGAATTTGGGGTTTGAGGAGTGGAGGGTTTGCATAGTTTTCGCGGAGGGGACGATGCGAGGATTATCCGAAGAGAGGTCATAACTAAATGGCGACGATGAGTGGAAGGAAGCTCCAAGAGGATAAGAAATATGAAGGGGGTTATTCGTTACATATTAAGTTCTTTTGTAATAATAGGATTAACACAAAATATGACGGTAAAACTGTAAATAACTATTTTAGCTAATTAATTAACTATTTTGTCTTTTCTCTAAGTTTTATTTATTTATTTTCAGTTAATTCAAATAACATTACATATGAAATAAATTTTAATAGGTTATTTATTTTTGCTTTGAAGTAAATTAAGTGAGAGCACATCCAATGGTAGTTCTAGCCATTGGAGTTTTAAAAATTGTGTATGTAGATGTAGGTTCCACAAAATAGTGTAGAACCTTGTGAGGGATAAAACTCACTTTCTAATTGAGGTTAGGTTAGGATTGGGGAGAAGACAATCGTGGGCTGAATCCCTTAAGAACTTAGAGAATGAATACGTTGTTTATATTGATGTTTGGTAATAAAAGAGTTTACAAAGATGATCCTTGATCTGAATACAAAGAACAATGGAGAATGAATAAGAACAAAGTGTATTGGAGNTCCGGAGCTGTTTCTTGCTAACTGTTTTGAAAATGAGGTCCCGAGTCTTTTGTTCGTGACCTGTTTTCACCGATAGGTAACGGTTTCATGTGGTCCTCATTTGAGGGGAAGCTTCCTGATGAGCTCGTAATGCTTTACAAACGGTTTCTACTATTCGGCCCATTAATTCAGCTAACGGGCTAAATTCGGGCCCAACAGTTGCCCCCAGCTTTCGAGATAAGATCTCTTTTCTCGGGAGCTACAGTGTAACCGCCTAATCTCTTTTTCCTTGAGATAATGATTACAATCGAAGATTCGCGTGACCTTAATTCTACGGCCCGGATTTCGTTAGGTTAAATCAACGGCAGAGACTAGCGTATTTTGAATAATTTCAACTCCGATTTTCGAGGCTGGACGTGGTATAAAGCTGCGGTTATTAACTGCGCTGTTCCTCCACCACCCCACGTCTCGATTTGATTCCCCAGGTA